CCACCCTACATTTTGAGCCACACCAAAATGATATTAAGTGAAATCTACTATACCAAACAAAATGGGGCAAATCATATCTCCCAACCCTTTCCCAAAAAAGGAGTATAGATATCCCCATTTTAGGGCAATTCTTTTTTTTCCATTTTAGAGTTTTCACCCATCACCCATCAGCCCTTCATGACCGAGGTGGATGTGGGGCTCTTCGGAGCTGGGAAAGCTGGGTTTGGGCGAAGCCACCAGTTCCGACAGCATTCCGGTGGCCATCCGGGCCTTTGCCAAGAGCACTGAGCCCTACAAGGTGGGGGTTGAACCAAGATGTTCACAAATCATGAAAGGGGATTATGAGATTCAATGAAAAAAAAGTTCGGAGTTTGAGGATCCTTGTAGCTATTTGGTGGGTTTCAGCTAGATCCTCTAGACAAAGGTGTTCTTTTTCCATTTCTCTTTTGGCCCAGAATTGGATGATGGGAAGAGTCGTCACCTGAATTGCCACGAGATCAATGCATTTGCAGGTTTTTACCCCCATGGTTTTTCCGTCGTTTCCTCAAACCCAGGCATTTTTTCAGCATTTCCTTCCCAGCACCAGCCGAGTGGCAGGTTCCTATGGCCGTAAGTTGTGGCCAGTACCACACGGCAGTGATTTGCGTGAGGGACCAGGACTCCGATGACGATCGAATTTCAGGAAGTGTCTTGGCATGGATTAACCAACAGTAGGGCTGGAAATTAGGATAATTCTCCTTCATTTTATTCAGCCATGCAGTTCATGTTGAACTACACATCTGCAGCAGCATTCCGTCAACCGCATTGAAAAACAAATTGCAAAAAAAGAAAGCGACATGAAGGCAAGACTTCAAAAAAGACACAGGAGAGAGGACAGTTTCAGTTGGGAGAATGCAGCAGTGCCTCTTGGGCAGGGGACTTGAAGTGCCTTGAGTCTTTGACTCTGAGGGAGTGACACTGTGGGATGTAGATTTATAGGATGTATCTTGGGAAAAGGGGACTCAAAGTCCTGGACTCTGTGTATGTGCGAGGAGACCTGTAGCTAGAAGGAGCACCTGAGCATTGTAGGATGAAACATTAACAGATTAGACGCAGAGTTCGGGTCTGAGACTTGTGAATCATGAAAATGAATTGGAGTCAAAATGGAAGTGCTCAAAAATGAGATCCAATACCTCAAGTTCATTAAAGTCAATGGCATCGAAACGGAGAAAGCGTGGGCTCCAGTAAATGCTGCTAATTTACACCTAGTACACGGGGCCCGATGGAATTGGCTAGGTGGAACCAACCCACCGAAATAAAAAAGAGCAAATGACAAATCAAAGGAGAAAAGCCACTAAAAAGGAGTCAGGCCAGGCCCCGTGACGCACAGCAGGGTTCGTGTGACCGGGGTCTCCCGGCACGCCTGTGGCGGCCCCTGCTAGCTTTAGTTGCCATGAACAGGAGTAGTGCCGCTTGGGAAAACTATACAGGCACCTAAGTCCAGCAAAAGAAACATGTACATTCCAGCTGCATATAGGAGAAAGCGAAGTTGGAGACGATGTGCAAGACTTCCCCCATAGTCTCGAAACTGGAGTTGATAGTGAAAGATACAGATACTTGTAAATGGAGACGATGTCGAAGTACTATAACTTTGCTGGAAGAGAAACCTGGGGAGAAAAATGCAAGGTGACCAAAGCTCGCCGCAAGGTCGTGGACCAGTGTAGAGCTTCAATGGATGCATCCTTATACTTTTGGACATAGAGTCCCCAGAGAAATGCATGTGCCCGTACCTAATTCTCGTTCATTAACATTCATTAACCATGTTTTTTGACGTTAGGTTTAGTCCTGAACCATCATTTGGGGGCCCAAGATTGGGAGGTTGACTTGACCTGACCCATTTTTCCGTTTCAATGGAATGAAGGGTCTGTGGTTGGCTGGCGTCCTGCCGTACGCGACTGAATTTTATTGGTCTTTAACATTTTTGGGAGATAGAATTACGAGCATAGCTGTGAAAGCCATGGCAATTGGGCAATGTCAGACCGCTGAAATCGCTCAGGAGTTTGACCTTCGGTGGCGGCTGGTTTGGACGACTGGGCCACAACGACATGGACGCTGGGTGCGGTGGGGGTCTGGTAGTATCGAACTATCGAAAAAGAAATGGAAAGAAGGAAATGTATCCATCCTGACTGCTACATGCGCCGCCTGAAGCTGTTTCCATCTATGTGTGGTACCTTGATCCGGACAAACACCGTGGTTTTCCCGCAGCAGTAGATGGTGGATGTTGCTTCTTTATCTGTTCAGGAGAACCAATACGAACCCAAGATCATCAGCAGCCTGATCACCAAGATCCGCACTGTGCATTGCGGAGCCTACCACACTTGTACTTTGGCTGTGGGATGGAATTGAGAACCTGGCGGAAATTTCCACTTGTCTCTGAAGCAGTTACTCCCGGCAATTTAACATAGCCATGGAAGATTAGACATTTGTACATGATGTGCCTATTTGCCCTTTCCATTTTGCATGTCTATATTAGATTACCAGAGGCTAGGCCCTAGCCGGTTTCGGATCTGCAAAGTGAAAGGCGGCCTCAGCTATGAGAAGGGTATTTACAATGACAACGGCGAGTTGGCCGGTGATTTGTGGGTCTGGGGTCGCAATCGTTGCATTGGCGAGCACGAACATGCAAAGGTGGGGGTGGCTTACCACCTTTGTTGGCAGTTTCGCGAGGAATTGTGGTTATAGCTACGGGTGAAACCTGGGTATCCCTTGCGCGGGGAATACCAACATTTCTCCCCACATCTTTGTGTGGGGTTCTTGTTTTTTTGTTCTGTATCCTGTCCGGCGCCGTCCGCTCCTTCTCCTCCTCCTCGCTTTCACACGCAACTCTTTCACACACACACAACTTTGCCACACACAGCTATTTCACACACAACATTGTCACACACAACTCTTTCACACACACAACTCTTTCACACACAACTTCGTCACACACACACACAACTCTTTCACACACAACTTCGTCACACACACACACAACTCTTTCACACACAACTTTGTCACACACACACACAACTCTTTCACACACAATTTCGTCACACACGCACACAACTCTTTCACACACAACTTCGTCACACACACAACTCTTTCACACACAACTTTGTCACACACACACACACAACTCTTTCACACACAATTTCGTCACACACACACACACAACTCTTTCACACACAACTTCGTCACACACAACTTCGTCACATACGCACAACGTTGTCACACACGCGCATCTTGACGTCGACATTTTTTTTGAGTGGGAGGCGTGGCGCTTACGGCGCTGGGTTGTGGTGATGTGCTTGGTCGCTGTCACTTCCGCGCTCTGAAAACTCAAGGCCAGAGTGGCGAACATGGAGCCACGATCAGACAGGTGGAAGCGCATGAAGTGCATACTTAAGAATAGCTGCGACGGCCAAAGGTCGAAGGCCACAGGGCGCGCGGTGACATCGGCGTGGCTTTTGCATGGCAAGCGTGGCACTTACGACATTGGGCTGGGTCTGGTGACGCCCTTGGTCGCCGTGGGCAGCCGTGGCACTTCGTGACAGCGGCACTTTTGTGTGGCAGGCGCAGCACTTGGTTGACATCGATGTGGCTTTGGCGAGGCAGGCGTGGCTTTCTGGGTCAGGTGGTGCGCTTGGTCCTGGGCGCTTCTATTGCCGCGGTGCTTTGTGTGGCAGGCGTGGGGTTTGGTGACATCAGGTTGGCTTTCGTGCAGCAGGCGTGGCACTTGGTGACATCAACTTGGCTTTCGTGTAGGAGGTCACACACAACTCTTTCACACAACTTTGTCGCACACAACTCTTTGTCACGCACACGCACGCACACACTGGTGCAACTCTTTCCTGCACAGCTTTGTCATACACACACACAAAACTTTTTCACACAAACTTTTTCACACAACTTTGTCACACACAACTCTTCCACACACGATTTTATTTTCCCGCACAACTCTTTGTCTCACACAACTCTTTCACATACACACACACACAAGCCCCTTTGCCACCTGCCTGGTGGCACTCAAGCAACCTGAAGCGGGAGTAGAGATCGGGCGAATCTAGGTAGAGACGTGCCATTTGGTCATTCTGTGTCGTGCAGCTGCTGTGTCATTTCATTTGGACTGGGATCCTTGCTTGCGCCGCATCTTCTTGATTTCATTTGATTGTGAGGGCCTCTCCGATTTTCTTATTGATTGATTTGTGACATTCATTTTGGCTTGGTGCCGCACCTTGCAATTGCTGTGCTGCATTTACAATTGGAACCACGACTCTGCCTTTCAGAAAGTACTTCCCCACCAGCTTGTGTACTTTGTTTTTGGTTGGCTTGCTTATTTTGCATCATTATTGGACTGCTGAGAGGGCCCTGGACCAACACTGCGGGGTAGGCTCCTGGACTGATTTTACTGGCCTTGGCCAGGGTCCTCTCACCAATCATTTTGGACACAAGCAACGCGATTCAACGTTGTTCAATTGGCATACATCACAACTCGTGACCAACGCTCACAACTTGGAACAGTTTGCCGATTGGACTGGGGTAGCTGGGTTGATACCCCAATTTTTTGACTCGGAACTTCATAATTTTTCGACGGTGACCTCCCACGTACTCCAAAACTGCGGAGTGGGCTTCCGTGCGCTTTTCACTGGTCCAGGAGACGTGGGGGGACGATTGCAGCAGAACATTTCTTGCTCTGACCCATATTTGAGGGGTTCTTGCATTTCTACTGTACATTGTGCGGAGATTTTCACTGGGGTAGGCTCCCAAGATTTTCTCACTGGCCTAGTGGTGGACTTTTTGCAAGTAACACCCACACCATTTCATATCACACTGACCATTATTTGCTGGGTGACAAAAAGCTGGACAGAGAGATTTATCAGGTCTGACACTTATCAGCAATACATTGGTGCGCTCACGGTGAACGGAGGGCGCGTTGAGATTGGGGTAGGCTCCCACGATTTTCTCACTGGCCTTGATTTCATTCAGCGACATTGCATTGTACCCTTGTGGTTAATTTGGATCGCGTTGAGATTGGGGTAGGCTCCCACGATTTTCTCACTGGCCTTGATTTCATTCAGCGACATTGCATTGTACCCTTGTGCATTAATTTCATCAACAGAAATCGGATTTTTGCTCTCTGTACACAGTTTCTTCATTGCGACGGTGGCATCTCCTTCTGGCTCACTGATTTGCGTGTGGGACTGACAGCGACGATAACAGTTAATTTTGGCTTTGAATCCATTTGGCAGAACTGCTGGACCTTTTTGCGGTCTTGGATTAAAAGATTTATTGATTTTGACCAACAATCCATTTCCTGGCAACCACTTTCACCGCACTGTGGGGTAGGCTCCCTTTTGCTGAATTCTGGCCTTGGTGAGTGGTGCCATTGTTTGCACATATTTTGGCTGCGACGACAATACATTGGATTGAAGTTTTGGACAGAGCCCCAATTCTTTCTCCTCTCTGGCGGCAGAATTCTTTTGCTGAGATCACAGTGGTTGCACTGTGCTCTGACCTGGACTTGGAGTGGAACTGTGACTCTTTGGACTGAAACCGTTGGTGACGTGACATTTAATTTCAACATTTTCAAGCTGCACGACCCTGACATCAGAGAGTCACCTCTTCCCTGGGCCATATTTCTTAGCGTTTGCACCTTCCTCTTGATTTATTTGAGGCTTTGGAAAACATTGGTTGCAAGCCTGCGACTATTGCCCAGATTAGTAGCACACATTTCTGTCTGGATCAAAGTGTCATTTTGCCCGAGACCTTTTCAGCGCCAGAAACCGAGCTTGAGTGTCCAGCCTTCGAGATCACTCAAAACTAGAGGTGGTCAACCTGGTCCCAAGTCCAGGGGTAGACTCAAGTGTATTCCTTTTTGCAGATTGCGAATTTTTCACCTTATTGTAGGTGTGTTCTTGCTGCACTGGATTTTACAACTCATGGAGTCTACTGGGGGTGAGGGTTGCGCTCCAGTCATGGGGAGCGCTGGAGCATCCACCATGTGGCAACAAGGCCTTATAGATAAGATGGATGCAAAGCAACATGACATGCAACCTGATACATCTCAGAAACTCACCTGGTCCTCTGCTCACACCAAAGTCAAAAAGAGAAGCATCAGACGTGCCTTTGCCAGAGCATGCCAACATGGGCTTGCGTGGTACCGAGGTAGGTGCTATACTCCTAGTGACTTTCCTAATGGAATGCACATTGCTCCACCAAAGATACAGGACCCTCAGAAATCTGGTGCTGCACGTGATCACATTGAATGCAACCGCAGACACCAAGACTCCCAGCGGCTTCGTCTATTTCATTGGAATACTGGCGGACTCAATTTTTCAAAATTGGATGAGATCAAGATTTGGCTTGATGCCCAACGTATTGACGCTGCCTTTCTGACCGAGACGAGAATGACTTTTGAAGCTGAATGGAGTGATGCCAACTGGCACCATGTGCACACTGGACAGGGTAATGATCGAGGAGCAGGAGTTATATGCCTTATCTCTACAAGGCTCTGCACCCAACAACAAATCAGATGGAGATCGGTCCTTCCTGGACGGCTTATGCATTTGCAAATTCAGGGCAGACATCGCAGTATTGATTTCGTGGGCTGCTACCAGCACACACAGGGACACACGGCCAAACGCCGAAATGAAAGGCTCCACTGGTGGAAACAACTAGATACCCTGCTCAGAAATTTGGCCACCAGGAACACCCTGTTCCTTGCTGGAGACTTCAATACTTGCTTGCCACAGTGTAGCTCCCATGCAGGTCCCTCCCACTTCCGGTGGAGAGGGACAATGACCCAGGGGGCTCAACATGAGGATCAAGGGCAATTCATGTCCACCTTGCGCATGCATGGCCTTGTAGCGCTGAATACATGGCACCCGGAGGCTGGCCCAACTTTCCAGAGTCCCACTGCATGTTCTAGAATAGATTATATCATCACACGTAAAACCATTGCAGATGGATGTGCCAAAAACATCCGTTATACGTGGGATGCACCATTTTGCACTTCTTTTGGACATGCTCCCATGATTGGACTTTTACGGAAACACTGGATCCCTCCAGCACATGAATCGCAGGTTCCGAACATCAGCCCTGGCCAAAGGCAACAGGGACTTCTTGCGTTTCATGCTGAGTCAGAGCAATGGCAATGTTTTCTGAATGCGCTATGTGAGCCACTACAGAACCGTTTGATGGAAGCAACGCCCTCAGATTCAACTGTCATTTCAGACTTGCATCATATAGCTTGCCAGCATTTCAATGAACACTTTCCACGCCATGGCAAACCCAAACAAACAGATACACAGGCCAAGACCACTATCATGACCAAATGGTTTCACAGACGGGAATTGCGGAACATTAGTAATATCACCTTTTCCAATCTTTTTCATGCATGGTACCACAGTGCAAGGTTCCAACGCCTGAAACGCCAAGCTCGGAAACATGCCATTCATGTCCGACAACTCAGATTTGAAGAAGTGACAACTAGAGCTGCAATTGCAGCATCACGACATGACACGCATTCCCTTTTCAGAATAATCAATCAGTTCACCCCAAAACAACCGAAACGCCGCATGCAGCTTGGAAACTTGGCTGGTCAAATTGCCACACCAACTGAGGAGACTGCCATGTTGACACAATTTATCCAAGACACATGGCATGGACCCAGCACATTTCCAGTGAGTACAGCCCCTCTGACAGGTTTGCCTTTCACTGTGGAGGAACTTGCACAAGCACTGAAAGCCATACCGGCGGTGAAGGCGGTAGCACGACCCTGTGCTCCTGGCACGGTGTGGAAGGGCCTGGCATTGCAATTGGCTCCAATTTTGCATTCCGTCCTTGAATCATGGTGGATCAGTCCCAAGCCATATATCCCCCATTGGTTTAAAGCTGGATGGATGCTTCTCATCCCAAAACCTAATAAACCCCCAGTGCACCCGCGGGCATTGCGCCCGTTGGCGCTCCAGGAACCATTAGGTAAGACAGTGATGGGACTTCTTGCGGCTAAGGCCCAAAATGCGATCATGCCTACCATCACAATTTGGCCCATTTGGTCTTATTTACCCAAACGTTCGACACAAGATGCCATCCTCAGGGTTGTTTTGCACTGCAAGGAAGTGCGCACATTGCTGGCTGCCCAGCGACCCACACCGTTTTGCAGAGCAAAGCAAACACCACGTTTGCGCATAGCTGGAGGGATTGGAGTTTTCTTGGACATTGAACGCGCCTTTGACATGGTTAGTAGGCCCCAATTATTTACCAAACTCACTGCCGTCGGAGTGCCAGCGCCCATTGCACACATCCTGACATTGTGGCACCAGGAAACAGGATATTATCTTTTTTCACATGGGGAGGAAACTCATATCCCAGTAGGCCGCGGACTGAGACAGGGATGTAAGGCTGCGCCTCTCCTGTGGAACATTTATGTCCTGCTTTTTTTGGCTGAGTTGAGTAAACATGTTGACAGACAGTGGATCCTGACCTGCCTCAACTTTTATGCAGACGATGGCCAACTTGGCAATGCCTTCAGATCTGAAGCAGCCTTGGATACCTTGCTGTCTAATTTGAGCACCACACTTGCACTGCTGCAAGAGTTTGGCATGACCATCAACTCAGCCAAATGCACTGCCTTGGTTGCGGTTAGAGGCACTGCCTCTCGGAAGCTACGCTCCAAACTCATTGCTGTGAGAGATGGAAAAGAATGGTTGAAGATCCCTGGTGCAGGATCACAAACATTTTGGATTCCAATTGCCACACATGTCAAGTATCTCGGTGTTGTGCTGTCATATCATACCATGGAAGACAAAACCATCCAGCATCGCATTCAGCTCTCAAAAATTGCCTTTGGACGGTTGGCACGATGGCTCCAGAACAAACGTGGACTGCCTCAGTGGCAACGTTTGAGACTTTGGTCAACATGCGTTTACCCAGTCCTCAGTTACGGCATTTGTACAGTAGGCATCACCCAAACAGGACTCCTGAAATTCCAACAACACATGTACAGCATGCTTCGACAGGTTCTGGGAGATCACGCTTTTTTGACACGACATAGCCACCGACAGGCATTGTCCAGACACGGGGTAGATTTGCCGTTTGCATGGTTGTGGCGCACTGCTGACCCCCTGCTTCAGTCAGCCACTCAACGTTTGCACATCGTAACCTCCCATGACATAGTCCATCAATTAGATTGGAGTCACTTGCATCAGCTCAAAGATTTCTTAGCTGACCAGTTGCACAGAGGCCTGGAAGAGCAGACAGCTTCACCGCCGTCCACTGCCTTGCCATCTGAGCCTGTTTATTTTTGCCAAGTATGTGGTTTTTACACTGATCAAGTTGCAGATTTCAGACGCCATTGCACCATTGTCCATGGACTCAGAATGAACCGCAGTAAACATGTAAATCCTGCCATGTTCATGCTTAATGGATTGCCACAATGTAGGTATTGTTTTCAGACTTTTACGACTTGGCGATCCTTCCATGTGCACATTCAACGTGGATGCCAGGCAATCTGCGCGGGACCTGAACCCTGCTGGCAGAACACTGCCCAGATAGTCAACAACAACACTGTTTTCCCTGCACAGATGGCAGATTCAAAGTTGGATGGACCTGTTCGAGGCCAACGCATGATCACCGATGCTGATCTCAGGAATCTGACCAGCCAAGAATGGGGCAGCCGTGTTTTAGAGATTGTTGGCCATCGACACTGGCACCATATGCGTCGCGAGCAGACTGCATGTGAATACTTGGCAACCAGGTGCTGCCTTTGCGATCAATTTCTTGGCAGGACTCAGGATCTGAACCACCACCTGAAGACCATGCATCCTGAGTATTGGCCGCACACGGCTGCAAAAGGAAAGCAGCTGACAAACATGTACGGAGAGGACACTCCATGTCCTTATTGCCATGCAGTGTTCAAGAACATGCATCAATGCACAGTGTGGACGCAGTTGGCAATGTTGGTCATTTATGGTGGCGGCCAGACCCATGCTGCCTCTACTGAATCATCATCTGGCCTTGCTTGTGAAATATGTGGCCAGCAATTTGACAATGCAGAGGCTTTGCACTCCCACCTGGCACGTGCCCACCGTCTGGTGAGTTCATCCTTCAACCTGGCCAGGGACAGTGTGGCGGGCCAACCCGCATGCAACCATTGCGGGGGGTTGTTTGATGGCATTGAGTCCCTTCGCAGTCATGTGAACCAGGGACGATGTCCTACATTTAACCCCGATCTGCCAACGGAGGTAGTGGATGTGCAACAACGCTGGACTGATGCCACCTGCCATGGACAACTGGCCAAGCACCTTGGGGATGCCCATACCAGACTCCAACTGACGCTGAGATGCCAAAGCTGCAGTGCCAAGTATTCCCGCTCTGCGGACATGATGGGGCACCTCCAGACAGCCCACTCAGCCTTGTGGTCGGCGTCTCAGCCACTGACCCATTTGCTCATTGAGCTGGCTTACAGTGAGTATGGCTGTACCTGCAACCCTAGTGTACATGCCCCCAGAGCACATCATGTATGCGTGACACTGCGCCAGTTAGCAATGCAGCACATGAGAATCCCTGATGCAATTTTCTTTCCCAGAATGCCAACTGAAGAGGAACTGACAGGATTGTTTTCCAGCCGACTGGATAGGGCCATGCGATTTCAACTTGAAAGGCTCATCACCACCCAGAACTTTGCTGCACTGTGGAGCGATGATCACATCCTGGCCATGACGAGGTCAACCTGTGTCCTATGTGCGGAACCCTTTCATGTTGGAGAGCTTGCCCTTCATCTGCAGGAAGCGCACCGGTGCCGCAATTTTTTGGTCAAATTTCTGATGTCACAGATGATTGAACGTTTTCTGCACCATTTTGAACATGATCATCAGTGCTTTGCTTGTCACCAAGTGATCAATCATCCGACAACAGATGCTGCTGAACTGCCTGATTTGCACAGACAGCAAGTGGTCCAAGTTCATCTGCGCTCCCAGTGTCCGTGCCTCCTTCAAGCAGCAGTGATTTTGAGCCGTGCAGCCTATGGACGCACCGCACATGGAAGACGCAGAGGATGCAACGACCCAGATTTGGCAGGCATTCCAGGAACTCTCACCCATCCTGGACCAGACCCTGAAGCTGAGTCAGAATGCACCGCCCAAGCGACAAAGAAGAGGAGAACACACCACCAAGCAGCGGGAACCACAGGGAAGCCAAGAAAAGGTTCAACTGGCGCAGGCTCTGGTCCTCCTCACCAAGCTCACCCTCAAACTGGACAGGGAGCTGCAGACACTGAAGAGGGAGGACACCTTCGTCTTCTTTTTCGCCAACAAAGGGAAAGAGAGCTGCTTGCAAACCCTGGTCCAGGCAACGGAGGTCTGGGTGGCCAAGTTGAAGGAGAAGCAGGAGGAGGGGACCACGGTGAGAATGCAGCCACTCCGCCAACATCTCTTGCAGGTGCTCCTGAACACCCTACTGACCAGAGTGGAACAGCTGGGGAATGCACCAGAGGGCTCCGAGATTCTGAAGGCGGCGATGCATACCAAGGTGCTCCTGCAGGACAAGACTTGTCCCTACTTGGAATGGTGCCACTCCAAGAAGGAGCTGATTGTCAGCAAGAAGAAGCCCCTGGGACTGAAGCGACTGCATCAGATTTGCACCGATCTCCTGGAGGCCTTGACCAACCCTCAAATGGTGGTGAAGTTTCATTCACTCCCTTCTGGAGCCAAGCAGGAAACCTCCCCCTGGAAACTCCAAGTGAGTCTGCGGCTGGATCACCCTTGGCAACTGCTTCTGGAGCTATGCGGCTCAGCAATCTGGCTGCTGATGGGAGCATCCCTCAAGGTGCACAGCTTGGAACAAAGCCCTCTGGCCCACAACTTGCAGAAGGCCATGAACCTGCACTCAAGCCACCGCAAGGGCAAGGGAAAGGGGAAGGGCAAGATGGATCTGGAACTGAAACAGGAGTAGCTCCTGCGCTGCCGCTCACTCCACACATGATGCTTCAGCGCCTTGCACACCTCACCTGGGATAATCCAGGCAATTTCTGTTTTGCCAATGCTGCTGCACAGGCGATGCTATGGACTACACTGTCCACCAGTACATGGCAAACGCCATATTGGGGAGAACAATGCCAGGAGCTGCAAAACTTCCTTGCCTCAGACCATGCTTCTGGCATCAATCTGAGCTGCACTGACTGGTTTCAGCAGATTGTGTGTTGTTGGGGTGACCGGGATCCCACATTCGATCCTGATCAGATTACTCAGCAAGATGCTGCTGAGTTTGTTGCTACATGGTTTTCACTCATGCGTCCCATGGCTTTCGACATGGCCTGGGAAAGGCGATTTGAGGAAAACGGCAATGTGCGCGTTTTTGATGTCAACAGCACACATCAGCCAATTTGCTTGAAATTTGATGCAATGCTGGCTTACTCCACCACATGTGATTTGACCCAGCTTTTCAACCTCTGGTGTCAGGTAGATGGCATGAGAACAGCACTGCTTGGCGCCCCGCCGTGCCTTTGCATTCAGATTGACAGATGTGTTAGTGATGCCATGAACAACATTTTCAGAAGTGAGTGCATGATTCAGACGGATGAACCTTGCTTGGTCCCATTCTTTCAGACCAACACTCTGCAGTATGAAACTGCTGAGTATCATGTGGTGGCACTGACAGCCCACCTTGGAATGGACAGAGCTGGCCATATCAGAACTGCACTTCGATTGGCACCATCAATTGTATGCACTGTACATCCGGCCAATTGGCTGCTCACAGAGGACTGGAAAAAGCCAGAACCAATTTGGGATGTCCCTTGCTGGATGAAAAGACATGCGACCATGTATTGGCTGACCAGAGCCGATTGTTTGCACCTGTGGCGGTTTCGTCCATTTGCCCCTGCCAATTCCAGAGCTGACCATGTGAGCCTTGCAGACCCAGAAGCAGGCTGACCTGCCTATGAGTGCGAAAGAAACTCAAGCGGCTGATCTTTTTGCCCCACTTTGACTTTGAGTGCTTTCTCCAAATCAGGCCTTTTGACAGGCCATATCGAATGAATTTTCATTTCTCCAACACTGAGCGGCATAGCAGAGGAACCAGAAAGATTCCACCAAGGAACCATGGCAATACGCCATGCTGGTTGGCACAGACCTTGCAAACAGTTTGAAAAGGCGTGTTGTCAAAAAAAACACACACACACAAGCTCCTCTGCACCATCCGGGTGCACTCGAACGCCCAACCAGCTGGGCAACGGCCGCTAGGTAGTGCCCCCCGCACTGCTGTCATTCGAGCCATTGGGATCTTCGGTGTCGGTGTTGGCTTGTTTTCACACATTGGATACATTGCATTTTGCAGATCGATTGAGGGGGTGGCTCCCCTACACATTTTGTTTTTCACTGGCCACTTTTGCGTGATTTCGTTTGCAACTCTTTGATTTGGATCAAGCTTGTGCTACCATTCCTTAAAACAATCCATTTGACACTCATTTGGACGCCTTTGTCCTGCACAGAAAACGACGATCCACAGAGCAACCCGTGCTCACACGGTGGTCTGGCACTTTTTTGGAATTTTTCTTTTGCGATTCCTTGCACTGGAGATTCAACTGACCCCAGACCAAACTTGTATTGCTAATTGCAGGGGGTGGGCTCCCCTTGAATTGCTGACTGGCCCACGGAACGCATTCAGACCTACGTACGGTGGTACGCATTGCTCTGACAATTTTTTCTGTCAGCCATTGCACGACCGCAACCGGCTTTTGACTCAATACAACGGGGTGGACTCCCGTATATTTTTTTCACTGGTCCAAAGCAGACAGGTAATCAATTGTTGGCGAGACAAAAACAAAATCGAGCACGAGGAACTCTGCACCAAAGGGGTGGGCTCCCTTGACTTTCTGACTGGCCCTGAATACAGATATTGGCAAGCAACTTGTGCGTGCTACGTTGGAGTTTTTCGACAAGACAACGGGTCCCTCCTGGTGGACCACAAGCGCATCTTCAGTAGGGGTTGGGCTCCCCATCAACAGCTGACTGGCCCACGACACAATACAATCGCAGGGCTGGACACCCTGACTGACTGTTCCAATACAGCTGTCAATTTATTTTCTTTGCATCACCCAAGCGGACTTTTTTCTTGTCACAGTGACCACAGGGCGGGCAATATTTTCTTTTGGATACTGACCCTTGCTGCAAGTTTGCACCTGATCACACAGAGAGGCGGCTCTTTCCTGCGCACTGCCAAGGACAACAGCCGCTACAGGAGGCTACAATTCAACACAGGGGTGGGCTCCCTTCTACGTTTTTCACTGGCCCTTGGATTTCTCCTATTTCACAATACTGCATTATACATTTGTCATCAGCAAAGTGGACAGCATTTTTACCAGCAGGTACCTGACTCATTTGCAAGCGTGTGGAACGACAGTCGTGGCACTGCTTCACCATTTTTTGCAGGTGTTTTTATTGGTATCAACACACATTGCTGGACCTCTCACAGACACAGTGATTACAACTGGGATTGGGCTCCCCGCACAGATTTTTCTGGCCCCAATACTTGCACCTCAGTGGATCCGCTTCACTCTGCGACTACAGGAACAGGAATCACTTGGACGTGCAAAGCAGGGGTGGGCTCCCTTCATTGTGACTCACTGGCCTCAAATTTCACTGCTGCACAACTGCGATTGAATTTTTTCAGGAACAGAGTACATTCCAACATTGCATCACAGAGGGTGGGCTCCTCCCAACACTTACTGGCCCAGCATATTGTGCAATTTTATGGTTTTTTGCAGATAATTCAACAATTCAATCAACAATTCATTTTCCTTATTTGGCCACGATCGATCTTGACGCAAACAGACCTGCAGCCTGCTGCAGACATTCACCACACCCAACACCTGCACGCAGACAGGCCCTGGCTCCATACTCACGGTGGTTTCTGGAGGCAAAACTTCCTCTCAGCACACACAGAGGCTGATACGAGTGCAGTACCATTCACAACACGACTTAGGTGCAGTCCTGGTCCCAAGTCCAGGAACACATTCCATTGCCAATATCACCAAATTCTTTCCTTCTTTGGATGTGTTAGGAGTGAGGGTTGCATCTCAGTCATGGGGGATGCAGAAGTGCCGCCAGCATGGACGCCAGAATTGCTCCTTGAAACTGGCACGAAGCCACATGACCCGCGGCCAGGAACACGCTTTCATGCAACGACCTGGCATCCAGCACCTAGGCCCATTGTGAAACGCAGCATCAAAAGAGCCTACAATAGAGCTCTGCAGCATGGAGTAGCATGGTACCGAGGCCGCTGCCTCACCCCAAGTGACTTCCCCAAAGCCTTGCAGACCACTGCAATGACGTTTCCAGAGATAAACCCAACAGTGCGGCAGAATAATCTCCTTCGATGCAATCAACAGCACCAGGAAGCCAAGCGTTTCCGATTGCTCCAGTGGAATGCCGGAGGATTAAGCTTGCATAGATTGGATGCCATCAAAGTTTGGATGTTTGAAAACCATATAGATGCTGCCATGATTGTTGAGACTCGATGGACGTATGAAAGTGAATGGGCTGACAGTTTATTTCACTACATCCACACAGGAGATCCCTCACATCGTGGCATGGGCATATTATGTATTCTTTCCAAACGACTCTGCAAAGCAGAGCACATCCGATGGCGCGTGCTTCTTCCAGGACGACTTGTACACGTCCAAGTGCAAATGCATAACCGCAATCTTGATTTGGTTGGGTGTTACCAACACACCCGAGCATCTCATGCCAGCAGAATGCAGGAAAGAACACACTGGTGGAACCAACTGGACAGCCTGCTGCACAGTCTGGCACACCGGAATGTGTTGGCACTTACTGGAGACTTCAACTGCAACCTGGTGCCCTCGCCGACACACAGCGGCCCAGACCAGTACCGCTGGCGTGGCCACATGACTGCTGGGGCTATGCACCAAGATGCGGGACATTTCACGTCCCTGCTCAGAATGCACGGGCTCACTGCCCTGAACTCGTGGGATCCAGGCCTTGGACCAACATATGTGCATGCCAATCATCACTCACGCATCGACTTCATCATCACACGGAAGACAGTTGCTGATGGAGTTGCCAAGCGCACATGTTATGCCTGGGATGCCCCATTTTGCAACCAGCATGATGGACATGTTCCCATGATTGCACAACTACGCAAAACCTGGTATCATGTCAGGGACCTTGGGGATAGCATCACATCACAACAGTTGCGCACTGGATACCATGCATTCAGACAGAACTCGGATGTTTGGCAACGCTTTGTTGCCACTGCCGCCAATGACCTTGCTACATTGGACCCAGTGCAGACCTCAGATGACAACTTTTTTCCAAACATGCATGCCAGAACCATCAGATGTTTTCAACATTTTTTTCCACATGAACCTACACGTCACACCATGGATACCACCACCACTACATTGGTCATGAACAAATGGACGCATCGCCAGATTTTATTGCAACTTGATCAGACTGATCCCAAAACAATATTGCAGGCATGGTTTCATTTGACCAGGTTCAGATGTCTGAATCGCCAATCCAAAAAGCATGCACGTGAGGTACGCCAACTCAAATTTCAAGAGGTTGTTGCTGAGGCCCAACATGCAGCCATGAGACACGACAGCCATGCTCTGTTCAAGTTGATACACAAATATTCACCCAAACAACCCAGACGCCGCATGCAGTTGCGCACCACCCAGGGGCACATTGCCACACCTGTTGAAGAAACGGCCATGCTGCGTCAGTTTGTAATGGACACCTGGTCAGGACCCCCAACATTCCCGACACCTGCACCGCCGTTTTCAGGCATGCCCTTCACTGCTGAAGAACTGGAACGTGAGCTCAGCAGAATACCTGCTTGCAAGGCTGTGGCACGGCCATGCGCACCAGGCATGATATGGAAATCCCTGGCCCCATATATTGCCCATGCAATCCATGCCCAACTTGCAACATGGTGGCAGAGACCAACCCCCTATCTACCAGGATGGTTCAGAGATAGCTGGATGATACTTATCCCCAAACCTCATAAACCTCCTGTATCACCAAGTGCATTGCGGCCCCTGGCGCTGCAAGAACCCATCAGTAAATGCCTGGTAGGGCTGCTGACCAGGGCAGCCCTACGAGATGCATTACCAAAAATGATAATCCTGCCTCTATGGGCTTACCTGCCTGGCCGTGGAACACAGGAAGCACTCATGAGAGTTGCCAGTCATTGCCGTGCTACACGCACCCTGATGCAGACCTTGAGATCCACCCCACATGCCAGACAGCGTGGACAGCTCAGACCCAAAGTTGCCGGGGGATTACAGTTGTTTTTAGACATTGAAAGAGCTTTTGACCTAATTAGCCGTGAACGCCTATTTGGTCAACTCCATAAGCTAGGCATAAGCCCCCATGTCCTTCAACTTTTATCCCTCTGGCACCAGCAGACCAATTATCACTTGAAATGCCATGGAACGGAAATCCCAATTCAAGTGGGACGCGGCGTCCGCCAGGGGTGTCGTGCTGCCCCATTTTTATGGAATAGTTACATGTGGTTATTTCTGGTGGAACTCAGCCGTATTACCAGCCCACAATGGGCCGCCCAGTGCATCAATGTCTATGCAGACGACTGCCAAATGGGTGATGTTTTCCAGTCCACCACTGAGCTCACCTCCTTGCTTGACAACATCAACAAGACATTGATGCTGCTGCGCCAATTTGACCTGATAATCAATCCCAACAAATGTACAGCCATGCTAGCAATTGGAGGTACCTCGTACAGACAGGTGCGTGCATCAATCACGGCGTGGAAGGATGGGCAAGAATGGCTCCGTTTTGGCACGACTGATCAACCCATTTGGATGCCGCTGAACAAGACTGCCAAATATCTGGGCACTGTGATTTCTTACACCAATTTTGAAGATGCAACTGTCAAACACAGACTCCAACTCAGCAAAATTGCATTTGGCCGCCTGAAGCGCTGGTTGACGGGTAGCCGAGGGTTGAAACAATGGCAGAGACTTCAACTTTTCACCACTTGCGTATACCCCATACTGACATATGGAATTTTTGCCACTGGCCTCACAACAATGGGCATCACCCTGATCCAAAAACATATGTACAGTTTTTTACGCCAAGTTCTCTGTAACCACTCATATATTACAGGCCAGACACATCAGACAGCACTGACCAACAATCGTGTTGCCCTACCTGCCGCCTGGCTATGGTCATCTGCTGAAACTTTGCAGAGGTCCATTCAAACCAGATTGGATGCAGCCACCGCTGATGACATCTTGCACACGCTTGATTGGAGTGTTTTACCTGATAGCATGAGCCTTCTGCAGACCCACCTGCATTCAGGACCTGACGCCATCATTGCCACTGCTGTGACTGACGTGCCCAACCTTGCAGACTCCATGACATGTCAGATTTGTGGTTTTTGCACACAAGACGTTGCATGTTTTCGTAGGCATTGCACCACCCAACATGCACAACCCATGCATCGCATCAATCCAGTTGACCCTGCACAGTACATGCATGACGGATTGCCACAATGCAAACACTGCCATCGGAAATTCACCACTTGGAGATCCTTTACCAGCCACATCCAACGTGGCTGCCAGGTACTGCAAGCTGGCCCAGACGTGTGCTGGAAACCCAACACACAAGCCTTTGCCACCGACAGGCTTCTGACCAGCACGATGTTTGCCCCAAAGATGGATCCCGCTGTACGTGGCACAGCCATCTTGACAGATGCTGACCTTAGCAACATGCTGAGCCAGGAGTGGGGACACCGAGTTTTGACCATCGTTGGCTCCAGAAATTGGCACCACATGAAGAAGGAGACTGCTGCCTGCAGTTACCTAGCACAGCGATGCTGTTTATGCGATCACTTTTTAGGCCGCACACAAGAACTGCACAGACACCTCAAGTTGCATCACCCAGAGTTTTGGAATCACGTTCAAGAGAAGGGACATCAGCTCATGAATTTGCATGGAGAGGACCCGCCATGCCCGTATTGCGGGGCGCTGTTCAAAGCTGCGCACCAATGCCCAGTATGGTGCCAACTTGCAATGCTACTCATATACGGGGGAGGCATCAGCGCTGGAACCACACATGTGCCTGCAATTTTACGCTGTGAAATTTGCTTCGACAGCTTCACCACCAGTGAGTTGCTGCATGAACACCTGATTCAAGAACACCGCCTGAAAAGCCAGAGCTACAACCCTGCCAGAGACTCCTTGGAGGGGGAGCCAGTATGCGCCCATTGCTTGGCGATGTACGACAACATGGAGTCCCTGCGGTCTCATGTGAACCAAGGCCGGTGTCCCAAGTTCAACCCGGCACTGCCAACAGAAGTGATTGACATTCAGCCACAATGGGTTGATGCCATGTGTCATGGAAAGATAGCAGACGTTTTGCGTGACGCACATGTCAGACTCCAGCTGACCCTGCGGTGCCAAAACTGTAGCAGCCGCTACACGCACCCTGCCGACCTCTCAGGCCACCTCCAATCTGCGCATTCCAGTCTCTGGTCAGAGGCTCAAGTTCTGACGGGGATCATGACATCCCTCATTTACAGTGAGGCAGGTTGCACATGCAACCCAAGCATTACAGCCCCCAGGGCTGGACACATATGCTTGCCCCTGCGTCAGCTGTCAATGCAATATATGCGCCTGCAAGGAGCTGTCCTGTTTCCACATCAACCGACTGATGAGGAATTAGTTCAACTTTTTTCTGAGAATCTGCCCAGAGAATCCAGATTTTTGTTGGAACGCACCCTGACGGCTGGCACATTGACTGATTTCTGGACTCATGCCACGCACCTGGATTTGCTGAGGGACACTTGCACCCTATGTGGCGCCCACATGCATCCGGCTGACCTGGTCCTTCACATGTATGAGGCGCATCAATGTGGCCTGCCAATTGTCAAGTTTCTCAAGCAACAGCTTGTTCCGAAATTTGCTGCTGCCAACCATGACCCACCCAGATGTTTTGCATGCAAGCAGGTTTATACCATTGCTGCCGCAGATGATGACATGACTGATGATGCCTTGACCTCTGCTGCTCAAGTGCATTTCCGTGCTCAGTGCCCTTGTGTCCTCCAGACTGCTGTGATTCTCAGCAAAGCTGCACATGGCCGACATGAATATGCCCGAGCCCGAAGAAACCAACCAACAGGTTTGGACGGCCTTCCAGGCCATTGGAGCTCTGCTGGACGACTCTCTACAGCTGGAACCCAATGCAGCGGGTCCCAAACGACAAAGAAAAGAAGAACCGACAAAGGCCAAGGGCCATCCACAAACCAAGCAGCTGAAGGAGAAGATCGACGTGGCACATGCTCTCTCACTGATGGCCAAACTGACCCTTCGCCTGGATCGAGAACTCCAGCAGCTGAAAAGGGAAGACACATTCATCTTCTTCTTCGGGCACAAGGGGCCAAACAGCAGTCTGAGTCACCTGGTGAAGGCCGCAGACGACTGGGTGAACAATCGCCAATCCAAGTCCCAAATGACCATGCCTCTGAGACAGCACCTGATGCAAGTGGTCTTCAACACCCTCCTGACGCGCCTCACCAAGCTGGGGGAGACCAAGGATGGATCGGAAGTGCAACAAGCAGCCATCAGCAATCTGATTCTCCTCCCGGACAAGACATGTCCTTACCTCGAATGGGATATGAGTCAGAAGCAACTGAAGGTCAGCCAAAGACCACCCTTGAGCCTCACCAGACTCCATCAACTGTGTCAGGACATGCTGGAGGCCTTGACGGATGTGAACCTGGTGACCGCCTTTCATGCCTTGCCAACCAGCAATCAGGAAGTTGCCCCATGGAAGCTCACCCTGAGCCTGAGAGCCGATGCTCCGTGGCAGAACATGCAGGTTCTGTCCCACTCAGCCATCTGGCTGTTGATGGCCACCTCGCTGAAACCGCATGGGCAGAAACAAAGCCCCCTGGCGCAGAGCTTACAACAAGCCATGGGCCTGACCAGAACGCCCAAAGGCCGGGGGAAGGGGAAAACCAAGACCGTGATGACCAAGCAGGAGTGACAGCACCCATGCCAGTAGATCAGATAGGTTGGCAATCAGATCCACGTGAGATGCTTTAAACTCTAGCAAATCTCACCATGCAAAATCCAGGGAACTTTTGTTTTGCCAATGCTGCCACCTATTGTTTTCTATGGACCACCTTGTCCACTGAGCCATGCGACCTGACTGTATGGGGCTTGCAACGCCAGAAATTGACAGATTTCATTTTGACACATACAGATGCTGCTGCCAATTTGGAAGATGAATCCTGGTTTCAAGACATTCTGCGTTGCTGGGGGGCCATTGATCCAACTTTGGACTCAACCAGACTTGCACAGCAAGATGCGGCTGAGTTTGTTCATGTTTGGCTAGACATGATGCAGGGCACAGCATTCCGAATGGGATGGGAACAGCGCCTGGACGAAAATGGCAGAACCACCGTTTTTGACTGCGGCCAACATTCCATGCCTATTTGTTTGAAGTTTGACCAAACCCTTGCACATGCATCCCAATGCGACCTTTCCCAACTGTTTGCACGCTGGTGCCAGGCAGATGGAATGCGCTCAGCCCTGGTTGAGGCTTCACCATGCCTCTGCGTCCAGCTTGATCGATGCACCTCCGATGGGAAAGGCCAGATTTACAAGAGTGAATGCAAAATCAACCTGACCAATTCATGCTTGGTGCCTGTTTTCACTGGACAAGGGCTTTCCTTTGAGCACACCGAATATGACATCGTTGCCATTATGACACATCTTGGAGCTGATCAATCAGGTCACTACAGAGCAGCCATGCGTATCAAGCCATCCCTGGTCAACACCACGACCCCTGCTGAATGGCTTCTTACAGATGATTGGGTGCCTCCATCGACAGCATGGCATGCACCCCAATGGATGACGCGCAGCGCCAACCTGTTTTGGCTGATTCGAGGTGACTGCAAAAATCTCCTCCAATATGTTCTGCGAATGCCCTTGCGAGACATCACAGATGCCAATGCAGCCACAGTGGAGACATGAAGCGGAAGAGACCATCTCTTGTTTTGAATTTTTTTCCTGCCACAATGGCACCATTTCTTCTGAGAGGCCTAGCTGCTTGGATGCCAGATGGATTCCCTGAGGAACCGATATCAACTGATATCGCTGGCTGGCACGAACCTTGAAGCTGTTGCAAAAAAGGAGTGTGGGAAAAACACACACACACACAAGCCCCTTTGCCACCTGCCTGGTGGCACTCAAGCAACCTGAAGCGGGAGTAGAGATCGGGCGAATCTAGGTAGAGACGTGCCATTTGGTCATTCTGTGTCGTGCAGCTGCTGTGTCATTTCATTTGGACTGGGATCCTTGCTTGCGCCGCATCTTCTTGATTTCATTTGATTGTGAGGGCCTCTCCGATTTTCTTATTGATTGATTTGTGACATTCATTTTGGCTTGGTGCCGCACCTTGCAATTGCTGTGCTGCATTTACAATTGGAACCACGACTCTGCCTTTCAGAAAGTACTTCCCCACCAGCTTGTGTACTTTGTTTTTGGTTGGCTTGCTTATTTTGCATCATTATTGGACTGCTGAGAGGGCCCTGGACCAACACTGCGGGGTAGGCTCCTGGACTGATTTTACTGGCCTTGGCCAGGGTCCTCTCACCAATCATTTTGGACACAAGCAACGCGATTCAACGTTGTTCAATTGGCATACATCACAACTCGTGACCAACGCTCACAACTTGGAACAGTTTGCCGATTGGACTGGGGTAGCTGGGTTGATACCCCAATTTTTTGACTCGGAACTTCATAATTTTTCGACGGTGACCTCCCACGTACTCCAAAACTGCGGAGTGGGCTTCCGTGCGCTTTTCACTGGTCCAGGAGACGTGGGGGGACGATTGCAGCAGAACATTTCTTGCTCTGACCCATATTTGAGGGGTTCTTGCATTTCTACTGTACATTGTGCGGAGATTTTCACTGGGGTAGGCTCCCAAGATTTTCTCACTGGCCTAGTGGTGGACTTTTTGCAAGTAACACCCACACCATTTCATATCACACTGACCATTATTTGCTGGGTGACAAAAAGCTGGACAGAGAGATTTATCAGGTCTGACACTTATCAGCAATACATTGGTGCGCTCACGGTGAACGGAGGGCGCGTTGAGATTGGGGTAGGCTCCCACGATTTTCTCACTGGCCTTGATTTCATTCAGCGACATTGCATTGTACCCTTGTGCATTAATTTCATCAACAGAAATCGGATTTTTGCTCTCTGTACACAGTTTCTTCATTGCGACGGTGGCATCTCCTTCTGGCTCACTGATTTGCGTGTGGGACTGACAGCGACGATAACAGTTAATTTTGGCTTTGAATCCATTTGGCAGAACTGCTGGACCTTTTTGCGGTCTTGGATTAAAAGATTTATTGATTTTGACCAACAATCCATTTCCTGGCAACCACTTTCACCGCACTGTGGGGTAGGCTCCCTTTTGCTGAATTCTGGCCTTGGTGAGTGGTGCCATTGTTTGCACATATTTTGGCTGCGACGACAATACATTGGATTGAAGTTTTGGACAGAGCCCCAATTCTTTCTCCTCTCTGGCGGCAGAATTCTTTTGCTGAGATCACAGTGGTTGCACTGTGCTCTGACCTGGACTTGGAGTGGAACTGTGACTCTTTGGACTGAAACCGTTGGTGACGTGACATTTAATTTCAACATTTTCAAGCTGCACGACCCTGACATCAGAGAGTCACCTCTTCCCTGGGCCATATTTCTTAGCGTTTGCACCTTCCTCTTGATTTATTTGAGGCTTTGGAAAACATTGGTTGCAAGCCTGCGACTATTGCCCAGATTAGTAGCACACATTTCTGTCTGGATCAAAGTGTCATTTTGCCCGAGACCTTTTCAGCGCCAGAAACCGAGCTTGAGTGTCCAGCCTTCGAGATCACTCAAAACTAGAGGTGGTCAACCTGGTCCCAAGTCCAGGGGTAGACTCAAGTGTATTCCTTTTTGCAGATTGCGAATTTTTCACCTTATTGTAGGTGTGTTCTTGCTGCACTGGATTTTACAACTCATGGAGTCTACTGGGGGTGAGGGTTGCGCTCCAGTCATGGGGAGCGCTGGAGCATCCACCATGTGGCAACAAGGCCTTATAGATAAGATGGATGCAAAGCAACATGACATGCAACCTGATACATCTCAGAAACTCACCTGGTCCTCTGCTCACACCAAAGTCAAAAAGAGAAGCATCAGACGTGCCTTTGCCAGAGCATGCCAACATGGGCTTGCGTGGTACCGAGGTAGGTGCTATACTCCTAGTGACTTTCCTAATGGAATGCACATTGCTCCACCAAAGATACAGGACCCTCAGAAATCTGGTGCTGCACGTGATCACATTGAATGCAACCGCAGACACCAAGACTCCCAGCGGCTTCGTCTATTTCATTGGAATACTGGCGGACTCAATTTTTCAAAATTGGATGAGATCAAGATTTGGCTTGATGCCCAACGTATTGACGCTGCCTTTCTGACCGAGACGAGAATGACTTTTGAAGCTGAATGGAGTGATGCCAACTGGCACCATGTGCACACTGGACAGGGTAATGATCGAGGAGCAGGAGTTATATGCCTTATCTCTACAAGGCTCTGCACCCAACAACAAATCAGATGGAGATCGGTCCTTCCTGGACGGCTTATGCATTTGCAAATTCAGGGCAGACATCGCAGTATTGATTTCGTGGGCTGCTACCAGCACACACAGGGACACACGGCCAAACGCCGAAATGAAAGGCTCCACTGGTGGAAACAACTAGATACCCTGCTCAGAAATTTGGCCACCAGGAACACCCTGTTCCTTGCTGGAGACTTCAATACTTGCTTGCCACAGTGTAGCTCCCATGCAGGTCCCTCCCACTTCCGGTGGAGAGGGACAATGACCCAGGGGGCTCAACATGAGGATCAAGGGCAATTCATGTCCACCTTGCGCATGCATGGCCTTGTAGCGCTGAATACATGGCACCCGGAGGCTGGCCCAACTTTCCAGAGTCCCACTGCATGTTCTAGAATAGATTATATCATCACACGTAAAACCATTGCAGATGGATGTGCCAAAAACATCCGTTATACGTGGGATGCACCATTTTGCACTTCTTTTGGACATGCTCCCATGATTGGACTTTTACGGAAACACTGGATCCCTCCAGCACATGAATCGCAGGTTCCGAACATCAGCCCTGGCCAAAGGCAACAGGGACTTCTTGCGTTTCATGCTGAGTCAGAGCAATGGCAATGTTTTCTGAATGCGCTATGTGAGCCACTACAGAACCGTTTGATGGAAGCAACGCCCTCAGATTCAACTGTCATTTCAGACTTGCATCATATAGCTTGCCAGCATTTCAATGAACACTTTCCACGCCATGGCAAACCCAAACAAACAGATACACAGGCCAAGACCACTATCATGACCAAATGGTTTCACAGACGGGAATTGCGGAACATTAGTAATATCACCTTTTCCAATCTTTTTCATGCATGGTACCACAGTGCAAGGTTCCAACGCCTGAAACGCCAAGCTCGGAAACATGCCATTCATGTCCGACAACTCAGATTTGAAGAAGTGACAACTAGAGCTGCAATTGCAGCATCACGACATGACACGCATTCCCTTTTCAGAATAATCAATCAGTTCACCCCAAAACAACCGAAACGCCGCATGCAGCTTAGAAACTTGGCTGGTCAAATTGCCACACCAACTGAGGAGACTGCCATGTTGACACAATTTATCCAAGACACATGGCATGGACCCAGCACATTTCCAGTGAGTACAGCCCCTCTGACAGGTTTGCCTTTCACTGTGGAGGAACTTGCACAAGCACTGAAAGCCATACCGGCGGTGAAGGCGGTAGCACGACCCTGTGCTCCTGGCACGGGGTGCTGGCCTGGCACGGTGTGGATCAGGGCCTGGCATTGCAATTGGCTCCAATTCATTGCATTCCGTCCTTGAATCATGGTGGATCAGTCCCAAGCCATATATCCCCCATTGGTTT